ATTCACAAACACTTTATTCACTTTCAGAATTTCATCATGAACTGATATCGGTTAGAGGACCATTAGGAAACCTAGGAGTATATTAGACAGCTGTTTCATCCTAGTTTAGGAATCGTCAGCAATACGCATGTACCGGGGTTCGAGCCCAGGACCTTCAGGTTACAACGCAAGCTCATGGACCATTAGGCCAGTGGGACCCGATCCAGTGGCCAGTCTACGAATTCCAGATTCTCCCGATTCATGATATGGCGTGACTACTAGCCAGTATCATCTATGTAGAGAATTTATCCTCATACCCCACTGGTCACGACTTCTCATTAGAACCCAGGTAACTACCTACCTGAATAGGGCCAGTCACTGGTAAGAATCAGGTTGATATTGAAATTTCCAGTACTCCTAGGTTTTCCAATGATCCTCTAACCAATTTCAATTCATGTTGAAACCCTGAAACCAATCAAATCCCTGAAAGCCTACGCTTGAATAAGTTTATTCAGTTATTTTATCTCATCTCATGTTCTTATTTCATGTGCATTTAGATGATAATCACAACTAACTAACAACAACATTTATTGCTATTGATATTCCTTTGTATACTAGAATCATAATATACTTTCTGATGATATTTTAATTGATCTTTTCTGGCTATTGTATATTGACCTTTATGGATTAACAAGTGTAGGGCATGGGAAAAGAAGTTAAAGAAAACTACTTTTCACTCTTATTACAATTCAACTCTTGAAAATTAATCTGATGCTCGCTATCGGCTTGCTACAGAACGGAGTTTCCTGGTGTTCAAATGAGAAGTCGTGACCAGTGAGATCCATCCAGTCAAGTGTGATGGGGGGGGGGATTTCCGGCCGATGATATTGGTAGGTGCCAGTTGCGCTAAAAGCACAAATTGGTAGGAGTTGGAATTCATGGGTCACTGCATCGCGTCCCAGTGGTTGAATGGGTATACAAGCTATCCTTGTAACTGGAAGGTTCTAGGTCCAAACCCCAATGGGTTTGCACTGTCGATGATTTCCAAACTAGGATGAAACAGTTGTCCATTACTCCGGTGGTGGTATTCAATGGTACCCTAACTGATAACAATCCGTGGTCAAAATCGAAAAACAACTATTGGAAATTATTGTTTTTCCAAATAAATTATTCAGCCTGCTTTATTTACATTCAAGGATGAAACTGCTGCTTTAAAAACACCTAAGTTAATGAGAAAAATGTAGATTTCTTTTTACCCCTGAGTTGAATACTTTCCTTGGCAAGAACATAGGGATTCCTTTCATTTGTCAGGGATTTTCTTTTTGGTTATTATTGCTGACATGCAGATACTTTGAAGTGGAAAAGATGTAAATGGATTTTATTTTATCAAAGTCCTATGTTTTTTAATAACGTTCACAATCTAGTGAACACGTATATAGTGTGTCAAACTAAGTTGCTATACAGTATTTCTCATCAAATGTTTGTAGGTGAAATTAACAAATAGACCCAGGATGCGCATTTCGTCCTATTTGGGACTCGTCGGCCACTGGATGTACCTGCATTTCTCAGTGAGTGATGATGTTCCCACCGAGGCTCGAACCCAGTACCCATAGTTTCAAACGCCAGAGTTATCCACTAGACCACTTGGGCCACGAGAGCCACCTCTTGTGCAACGGGTCATATATTAATTATTGAATTGAATTTTTGATTTTCCCGTCGATTGATTGGACCGAAGTGCTCGGTCTCAGGTTGACATGTCGGCTTCTTGTGCAGATGGGTACTGGTTCGAGCCTCGGTGGGAACATCATCACTCACTGAGAAATGCAGGTACATCCGGTGGCTGACGAGTCCCAAATAGGACGAAATGTGCATCCTGGATTCCACTGCTAGCCACCATCCACCAATTGTATACTAACTAAATGCCCGGACATCGTCGAAGCATCTGCACAAGAAGCCGACATGTCAACCTGAGACCGAGCACTTCGGTCCAATCAATCGACGGGAAAATCAAGAATTCAATTCAATAACAAATAGACCATCTAAAATTCGAAAGACAGTAGTTACGCCCTGCTGCAGAGTAAAATTGTGACCAAACCCCCTATAAACTGAGTGGTTTCAACATAGATATTTGCAATGATGTGCACCAGTTCGAGTTGCCACTCTCTCTCTCTCCATGTAACACACAAAGCGAAGACAAGAGAGATTCAAAAGAGAGGCAGAGGCGAGTCGCATGCCGAACATTCGCAGATTGCTGCTCAAAGACTTTGCATTTTGTCAGCGTCTTCACCCAGGAGCAGGACTATATCGTCTGCATAGTCTAAGTCAACGAGATTATCCCCTGGTAACAAGTCAATCCCTGAGTAATTGAAGTCAATTAGGGCTAAGTCCGTTAGTGCATCTATGCTGAAAGTAAACATAAATGGAGATACTGGGCATCAAAACTCTATTGAATGTTACAGACGACATTGGTGTCGTAATTCCTGACTGCTTTATATCTAAAGGAAACTTATCACAGTTCATTCACCTAGTCCAGTTAACGGCGAACTTTTTATTTGGTAAACACTAATGTCTACTGGTAATGATTATGGTATTTCCTAGTATCAAGGATAAAATAAGATGCCCCTTTATATGACGCTGTCTTTGCTAATGAATGAAAATAGCAGTTTGAAGTAATTGAATCTATGAAATGTGATCGAATCAAAATAATGCTTCGTGCACTGTTAAAATGTACATAGGCAAGCTGATTATCCTCATTATACTGTAAAGTCTTCACTGATTGGTTTTTAAGATGCCACTTCCATCACATGACATTGGAGTCAAAGGTAGATCTAAGCGTTTGGGTTATGACTTAGTATGTGGTTGCAAACACCTTCGAAATATTCGTCAATATGCTAAAAGTTAGACTTTAGGATAAAGACCAAGAAATCGCCTGACTGCTCAAATGTTTACATAACACATACTATGTACATGCTAACTGTTCCACTTATGTACTAACACACACACACACACACAAAAACACGAATGAGCAAAAAAAATTATAATAATGAACTATATATGTGAGTACAAATCATAAATGTGTGAATAAAACAATTCGAACAGTGGTGTGAACACCGGCAGTAATTTTGCTCGAAATATTACCAATAACAAAACTTATCATTGTGTGTAAACTATTGAAATATAATTATGGTTTATTTGATCCAATCCACAATGCTCAAGCTTTTTATTGATAATAATCTAAATCATTCTTCGAGTGCTGGAATAAACAACTTCACGATGCTTACCATTATCAAAGACAAATATCCCAAGACCGCCTCAAAGTCGATTACCTCACTGGGTAAATCAAGTTTCCAGTCGACGATTCACTCTTATACAGAACACATAATCGTACCTAATTTATTCTGACAACTCTGAAGGCGATACCTCCTGAGACATTTCTCAAATCACTCCACTAAATCTATTTAGCACTGTATTACGCGGGGTAATTTTAAAACTCTAATCACACACACACTTTATACACACGCATCTGACCAAAACAGCCTTACTACAAATAAGCACAATGAATAAAGCGTGTTTCTCAATCACTTACAACCAAATAAATAGTAGACATTAATCACTTATGAGCATTTTTCGTGCAAATAAAAACAACACACGCACGCACACACACAAATATACAACACTATTCGCAATAAATTTTATCGATTACATAATCAATATCTGAATAAAAACCCACACGCGCATACACGCAAAAAAGAAAAATATACAAATATATAACAAAAGAAAGACACACAGAGAACAAGGACAAAGGAATGAGAATACGGAGAAGAAAGAGACACTTGTAAAACCGAATTGGTATGAATCCCCAGCAGATCACTTGAAAAAAAGCAAAATGACGTCATCAATAACAGCTGAAAGTTGTCTATAAGCCTAGTCAAATGGACTGGTAGAAAACTTTTTTTTGTTTTGAAAAACGCAATGGTTGCAACGACAACTTCACAATCTTTGGTAGATCGTTTCAAATGATAATAATAATAATAATGAAAGCAGTATGGTAAGACAATCTAGAAATCAGTTTTGGTGAATAATGATCATTCCAAGGCAAAGTTATGTATTATGAGGCATAAGTTTAAAAACAAAAACAAGCTCAGCTCATCAATTCATCGAGAGTGTCTTGAATAATAAAGCAAACGTACTTTTAGATTAGAAAGAGAAGGTATAATATTAACAATAATGATGATTATAATTATAATAACGACAACAACAGACAATGTACAAAAATCAATAAGTATTCAAGATAAAAAATCTGATTACAGTTTCATTCTTCACATTATTCGTCTTTCCTTCCCACCCCGCCTGCCCAAATGGCAGGCGAGGGGGGAGGGAGATTGAGAAAGGGTTTTGTAGGATTAGTTGGATTAATTCCAGGGTGGGTTTCGTCGCTAACCAGGAATCATCAGTTTGAGGGATTAATGAAAGCCAAGGAGCATTAGACAAATATTTCATCCTAGTCTAGGACTCTTCTTGGTAAAATCGTGGATACTGAACCTATGAGCAGTCAGTCCCAAGGTAAGATGAAACATCTGTCCAGTGGTTAGTTGTTTTCAGCCACCTTCAACTGATGCTGCCTTGTGACATAATCTACATTGATATATGCATATCATATAAAGAGAAGAACACTATTGAAGATAAAAAGAATAATGTCCTCTAAGAAGTAATTTATTGAATAAAAGTGGGGAACATATAGTGTACACAGGTAGTCAAATGCAAAATGATCAGAATGTTTATTACCTAAGCGTTAATGATGAATACTCTTCCAGGTTTTTTACATGACTTGGCAACACAATATATGAGGGAGGCATAAGAAAATAAAACAGGTGTAGATAAAAAAAACAGTACAAGATAAGTTGTTGAATCGGAAAGACACAAGTCAGCAGATACATAATAGATAGATGATGCATAATATAAAAGGAGAAAAATAAATAATTATATTCATTTCTGTTCGCACTTTGTGTGTGTGTGTGTGATTATTTTAATGGTGACATATGACGTTTTAAATGCTTAGTAAGATGATCACTACGACTGAATCTACGAGGACAACGTTGACAAATGAAATTTCGTTCACCTGTATGCGCTCTACGATGACGTGATAATTCATCGGAACGTGCAAATTTTCGATTACAATGACTCCATTCACAAATATACGGTTTTTCACCTATAAAAGTTAACGGATAATAAATAAATAAATAAATAAATTTACAACTTAATTTAAATGCAGAAAAATAAACAATATTTTAATATGAAGTGAAATATTACTCAACAACTGTTATTTTTATTTGGTTACAGGATGAGCTGGCATTGGTTAGAGAACCATTGGAGAACCTGGGAGTACTGGACAGCTCTTTCGTCCTAGTTTGGGACTCTTCATCAGTAGCACCCACCGGGGTTCGAATCCAGGACCTAGCTCGTGATGAAATCCTGCAACCAATCAACCAAATCCCTAAAAACCAATACTTGAAACTCTTATTTTGCCTTCCTAGATAACAAGTCCACCTTTGACTCTGTATCCAGGCTTCATTCGTTAAACAAGCTTGCTATGAAACAAACATGATGTTGGATTAACAATGAATGGTTGCTTTCTTAAATACCTGAGAGAAAGCAGTAACCTGTTTGTTATACTGGGAAGTTTTCCACTGCTTTATCTACTGTAGTGAGTGTCTCTAAAGGCGCCAATCTTTTTCCGTATCTGCCATCTTTCTTCCTGCATGACGTGTCTCATTCTGAAGTAGCAAATTTAGTCAAGTATGCAGATAGTAGGACTGTTTCCGTGCCGATGCTGCGTCAATCAGATTGCTCCAAAATGAGGTCGTTGTCAGAAATTCATAAGCTAAATTCTTCTAAATTTCAGATTGTTCACTTGACTTTCACACACAAATGTGATTTACGTGAAATAGTTCGTTCCCGTGATTTTTGTATCATGGATGGCACAGAAATTGAAACTAAGTTGAATGTTAAATACTTTGAATAATTTCTTTCCTCTGATTTTTCCTGATCTTCCCACATCAGGTTAATTTCTGGAAAGATATTTCGTCTAACCTTCTACGTAAGGAAGTTAAGACAATCTGGTATCACTTAGTCTGTACTCGTACAGTTTGTTATTTCTTCTATTCTACCTATTCCTCTTTATTACTCCCTCTTAATCTTTTCTCGGCCACTTAAGAAAGACTTTGTTACACTGCTAAGGGCACTAAAAACTGTAGGTAGAGCAAGTGTTGCTAAACTAACTGGTTAATACTTTTGTGTACATAAAATTCATCTCATGCAAGAAATTGGCAAATTTCAGCTTGTTGGACTCTTAATACACAACTCCCTTACCCCTTGCATTTCATCAGATGAGACTAGAAGTAATTATGAAGGACTTAACGCTCCGGTAAATGAGTATATAGCAACTCCCCCCGACACCTTATTTGGCACGCATTTCATGTTATGGGAAAAGTCGTAGGTTTGAAACTATTAACGTACTACGAGACAGTAAGTAAACGGCTCCCTCTATTATTTTTATTGTTATTATATGTTGTTGTCACCGTTTCTACTTGATTTTGATTTTACACTCATATTCTTTATTGACATTATCAGCAGCGTAGATTAAATAGAAAGCGGCTTAGAATCCCTGTCCAAACAGTTGGTAGTGGAACCTAGACCTGGACCAACCAGTCAACCATAACGCAAGATGAAGTGGAACAATATTGCAATCGATTTTTAAATCAGGTCAAATAAAACATTCAAGAAATGTGACAATCTTGGACACTCAGTCTGAAATAAGTTATCTGACCGAAATCAGTGATCCCTGAGGATTCCTTACATTCATAAGTGTAAGTGTAGAACTTGGACACTGTAGTAGAATGTATTTCCATATTAGGTAAGTTTATTTTAAGTATTACATAGGGATGTATTATTAACAACTGGATGACGTTTCGAGCATAATTTATTGCCACTCATAATTATATAAATTTTAGTCACACGGTTTCACATTTTGCCTTGTATATATTTCCTCTCTTTCTGTCTCTCCAAATTCCCCTTCTTGTTAGTTGCCACTTCCTATATCTCCGGTATAGGCGTTACGGCATTCCAATTGCACTTGTGCGGTGTTCAATCGATAAACGAAGCTTCAGTGATTAACCTCTCCCTCCCTTCACCTAGCCATATTACTGTTTAATACTCTCACCTTGTCCCACCCTATTATGTGATTACATGCAGGTGAATGCAATGCAACGGCTGAACTCTGTTTATTCTAGGTAATTTGACTTAACAGGGTCAATTATTCTAGGTCTAGCTGTATTTTTTTGTTCCGATAATCTGGTTGACCCCGATCTACTAGTTTGACCTATGTAATTGACCTCACAGTCATTATAAGGTATTCGGTAAATTATATTACTTCTCTTAATTGGATCAGTCGGGCGGGCGCTTAAGCTGACAAAGTTTATCTCTGAGAGAGTCGGTTGGTTGGTTGGTTTAAATACCACCCTAATCCTAACCTCACTGAGAATCCTACATAAGACTTCTGATGTTCCTTCTTTATACGGCAGTACTACAGAGGCTTTGAATTCTATATTCGTTTCGTTATTTCCGTCATTTTTATTACTAATTTTATGTTTCTATGGTTCTTCATATATTTCTGAATAAATTCTGGTGGGCACTTATTCAATTGTAGTATTTCCTTTATTTGTTTTATTACATTATTTAAATCTTCTGGTTTACTAGTTAGGGTCTTGGCCAAATTACTTAGTCATTTAACTAAACCTATCTTTACCGATTCTGGATGGGATGAATTAAAGTCTAAGTAGTTATTAGACTGTGTTGGTTTCCTATAAATGCTAGTATATAACTATCCACCATCTTGTTTTCGTTTTATTCTACAGTCTAGCATGGTCAACTCGCTTTGTTCGTTTTCCAACTTAGAAGTGAGTCAGATTCCGTCTGCTATTGAGTTTATGTGTGTGAAAAATGAGGGATATGTTCAAATATCAACACGGTGAATGTGCCATCCACATATCTCCATCATAACCTATGATTGGCGGGATTAAACATTCTTAGAGTCTTATGTACCCAACTATCCATAAGTATGTCTGTCACTACTGGGAATATTGGTGATCCTATTGCCACCTCATTGGTTTATTAATATAGTTTATTGTGAAAGTTGAAGACAGTGTTGGTTAGACATAACTGAAAACCGGATATTATTTCATCAACTGAGAGCTTAGTCCTACTTTTGAGTTCAGGATCAATGTTCAGTTCATTCCTAACTGCCTCCAGAGCTGTATTAATGACAATCTTAGTATATAAACTGGTTATGTCAGGACTAATCATTTTTCGTCGTTTTCTAATTGAATTTCCCCTAGCTTCTGTTTCATTACATAGGAATTAGTTAGCCTAGAATATGATCTGTCTCTAATGGGGTATAACACTGATGATAAATACTTAGATAACTCTTGGTTCAGGGTGTTCCTAAAGTCAACTATTGGCCTGGTAAGGTATCCTGCTTCAGGAATTTTTATAGTTTCGTACATTCTACTAAGATTATTAGTTCTAGGCATAAGATTAAACCATTTTTACTCATCCAAAGATGACTTCATACGGCATACTAGATTAATATTACATTTTTTTTATTTTATTCATAGTTGTGTCCATAGGTTTTTTAATTTCCTCATATGGTCCTTACATTATAAACAATTTTGTATTAACCTTCTACCATAGTTGTTATTTCTGTATTAAGGCTTATAACGTAAGTGCTAAAATACTCCATTTTATTGGATTCAACCTTCTTAAGGAGTTCACATGCATATACACAAGTGTATGAGTAGGTGTTTAAAATACTAATAGTAATATTAGTAATAATAATAATAATATTAACAACGATATCAGTAGAAAACTTACCTGTATGAACACGAATATGTGCTTTTAAATGAGAACTTTTGAAATAGGCTTTTGTACAACCATCAAAATTGCATCGATGAGATTTAACTCTTTCTAATCCATTGTTGTTACTATTACTATTATTATTATTGTTATTGCTAACAAACGTTGAGGTAGTATTTGTGTTAGTCTGTGGTGCTGTGATCGAATTTACAGTCTGTAGATTTGAATCCATCATTACATCATGTAAGGTGTTATCAGTTGAACTATATGACTGAAAGTTGGAGTCGTCATTGACACATCGTGAATTACTTGATGGTTCAGAAATAGTTGATAAATAACTGTTAAGATTATGCTGGAATACACAAAAAGAAAATTGAATTCCTTATACTCAGTGGACAACTAAAAGCTACAGTAAATTATTATTATTATCATTAAAACGGTGAGATATATAATCAGTAGTGGAAATTGTTGGTATCAGATGGTTGGAGACAATCGGCCGCACGAAGCCTTAGACCTAGGTTTCGTGCTAGTTGGCACTCACCAGTCAGCAAGGCGTATCTGCAACCTTGAAGGAACTCATGTCCCTTCTAAGATTCGAACCCACATCATCCAGAGCCGCCTGAAGTCAGAGACGTTACCACTGAGCTATTCAAGCTCGCGATTGACCTCCTGTAGGATTGTATTGGATATTTTTGATTGCACCCTAGTCAGTAACTAGTGTAATGTGTCTAGTCCTATCTTCACTGCAGACTGAATTCTATCAGTCAAGCTTGCAATGTGGAAATGTCTGATATGTTGACTGTTGTCGATAACCTTAGTAGCACCTCTGACGATGTCTCAGCCAAGTTATTTTATAAATTCAAATCCTTTTTTCAACCAGATTATTTCACAGCATCAAAAAGTGTACCAAAAGAAATTACCGAGGTGGATGCGTACTGATGAAGAATCCCAAACTAGGACGAAACGGCTGTCCATTACTCTCAGGTTTTCCAACCGATGTCAGCTCATGGTGAAATTCTCCAACAAATCAATATATTTTGTGTTTATATTTTTATGCAGAACTCTGAAAAACACTACCTGAGTCAAAACAAATCGTCTGTCAAAGTAAAATACTCTGATAAGTTGTGGCGTTCAACTTACTCAGTGCTGTTTGAGTAAAAACTACAGCTCTGAATCACTGCATAGATTTTTTGCTGGCGAAATCAATGAAATATTGAAAAAACTTCTTCTCTTAAGAACAATAGATGTACATCAGATTTTATCACCAACTGGTGATTACATAGTTTTGAAGTATCGTGAAGAGAATACAACAGTGACGGGCGTCGTACTAAACTAACTAAATGATTAAAGTTTCATGAAAATCAATGAAAAAAAGTTTAGAGACAATAATGGTGAGCAACAGGATCTGATTAGTGGCATACTGAACTGCTACTGCATATCATCATTATTATTCCCTTGGGTTTCGAGTGGAATATAGGACTTCAACAACAAATCCCCACTTTCTCCTATTTTCTGCTGTCCTCTTCATCTGTTTCCACATTTGCCCATAATCTCTCATCTACTCTGTGTCACCCTCGAAAGACCTACTCGTCACTTCCCATTCGGATTCCACTCGAGTGATGCCCTGCATTGTTCGCGGTGCCATTCGACGGCCTCCTCAGCGAATGCCTGATCCACCTCCACTTCCTCCTACATATTTGCTGAGCAGTCAGCTCTTGGTTGATTTGTTCCCAGACAGAGTTTCTTCTTGCTAATTATTTCTGGCCATTTTTTCTTCAGTATAGAGCCAACGAAGGCAGCTGTAGACGATAGTCCATCATGATACGCCAAGTTTCTGAGCCATATAGAAGGACCTACTTGAGATTGATGTTGAAAATCCGAATGTTGTTCTTTATACTGACTTAGTGTAGAAGATTTCCCAACCTACTTAGGATGGAGAAGGCGTATTTCGCCTTTCCGATCCTAACTTCGACATTTTCATCAGTGCTGTCCATCTGTGGTTGAAGCCGTGCTTCCTGGCCACATAAGTGAAGAAAGTAACCTCTGTCAAACCTCTCCCTCTGATGGTGACTGGTGCTGGTTGTTGTTGCTGTTGGTTGGTTATCTTCATCACACCCGTCTTCTCTATGTTCACCTAGAGTCAGTTCTGTCTCCTCTGCACTGCTTTTTCGGCCAGTTTGTTGGTTTTCATTTACAAGTCTTCGAGTTTGTGTGACATTAGACATATATCATCTGCGAAATCCAGATCTTCTAGAGTCTTCTTATCGGTGGTCTAGAGTACTCCTGTCTTCTCATTCCTCACGCACAGAGTGCCGCATATCTAGTCAACCATAATTAAGAATATCATTGGTGATAATAGTCAGCTAGCCTTGTGTTACTCCTGTATTCACTTAGAAGGCCTCGCTGAGTTTTCTGTGGTAGATCACCTGACACTTCTCACTGTCACATAGCTAACTGTTGAATAAGGTTGACAAATATCTGGGGGACGCCATTGCATATACAAATCATTATAATGGATTATAATGGTGTAAAAGAGGAATGAATACCTATAAAAATCTTTCAACCGTCAATATTCCCCTTGCATTAGTGGGTGTGGTTTGTTAGCACAAACTTCTGACTACCAGCTAGTCACACATTCAGTAGACGCTTGAATTCCTAAATTATAAATCGCAGACATCAACAATAACCTTTACACAGTAGGGATATCTTATTGTACAGTATATAAATCTGAATGATACTGAGTTTCATTGAGTAGTGTTCTGAGCTTGAATTTAACGGTATCGGATCTCCGATGTATTACGCCCTAGCTCCGTTTAGACTTAAATCTGTTACTACTGCATTTTAAAGTATTTCTCCACAAACTGTCGCCAGTTATTGAAATGCTAAAAGACATTGAAATATGCAGCTCAGTATGATGAATTGAACTTGTTCACTAGTATCTGCCAGTCCTTGTGAGGTCGAACACTTGGGAATTAATGCTCACAAGAAGTTTTATTAACACAAATGACACGATCCAAATAGTCACGTTTTCCAGCGTTCAGTAATCCGCAACTTGATGTGATTGCCTTCAAATGTAATTCCTGAATAACTGCCTTACATCCAACTTCGTTGGCATCAACTTCTCATAGTTTCGCTAAGTGTTAGCGAGCAGCAAATGGTTATTCATTGTAATAAAATTAAACAACCAAACCATAGCTGTCTCTAAAGCCTGAGGATGGTCGAGGGTGGGTGCCTTGCGCTGCGGGTTGGCCACCCTCCGTACACCTCTTGAAATGCTCCCATATAACCGGGCGTCTTACATAGCCTCTCCTGAGGAAGTCCTACTCACTGCCTTCACGTGGCGGAGGTGTTTTTCACCGAAGTGAGGGGGCAAAAGCGGATGCCCGGCGCTCTTCACCGGGTTGACTGTCCATTGGATGACAGTCTAGGGGAGATGGCTAAACCCTGATTCCAAACCTCCAACGGCTGGCGTATGAAGCTCACCGGAGCTCACCAGCAGACGTATGGACAAAGGGCTTATTGGATGCTCTGGATGTCTGGCCCCATTCAAAAAGGCGTATGAACCGGACTCCGGTCACCGGATGCCAATGGATAGTGGACTCCCTACTCCACTCCTACTGCCTTGTAGGTCATACTTGGTTGTGTAAAGGCTAGAGCTGCACTCTGAAACAAAAGGCCGGGCGATCCTGGGGACATCACTCGTACCTAATTCCCAGGAAACTTCATGAACTCTCTTACAAACAACTCTCACTATGTTACAGCGTTCCCGGTAACTTGGCGATGTCGCAGGGGTGGACAGCTGAAAACATGGCTTGGTACAGTCAAGGCTGATATGGAGTGCCTGGGGCTACAAACCGTCTACGGACTCCGTCTGTGGAACAAGAATTGGATAACCCTGTCGCAAAACCTTGCATCAGGCGGCCCCGCCTGGGCAGCAATGATTCGAGATGTCCATGAAGCCGGCTCATCCTCCCGTAGGAGATAGCCGAAGTAAAGTAAAGTAAGTAAAGTAGCTGTCTTAGACAGATTCATTAGTAGTTTTACAAGTGAAATAAAGATAACAAAAAGAGGTACTTACAGATATCATCGTTTCTGTAATCCGTCTCTCTAGTATTTGTTGACTAGACAAGGTGCCTTGCGAAAAGTCAACTAAACGCTGTCGTAGAAGTTGTGAATCTGAGTAACATGATCGGATGGTATTAGTTTCATGGATAAAATTTGTCAAATCAGAGTTGGTTGGGCGAACAGGTAAAACATTCTGTTCATTTAGCTTAAAAAGATCAGAACTGTCATAATTATTAGTACTATTATTGTTGTTATCATTATTATCTTCATAATACGAGGGTGCATTCGATGTAAAGTCACAATCATCATCAAGAGTAAAATTCACTCGAGTATTGAGTTGATCAGAAACAGCAGGAGCAGTAGTCACTTTTATTGTCATTGTGGATTGATTTTCATGGTGGGTAGTCAGTCGATCACATTGATCCATAAGTGGAGATGATGTAGCATTAGAAGAATATTCATCGAGTCCATTGGTTTGTATTGTTGGGAATGATTTAGAACCGTGAGGATTTGAAGTATAACAAGGGATATTATTTAACCAGTGTGAATTAAGATCACTCATAGACGGTGGTTGACTGTAGACAGATTCTTGACTTCGCCGTAATGTTTGCATAGGAATTTGTGATGTCTAAAATTTTACAATAAAAAGAAATGTAGAATTTGGCTTCGAAGGCTTCGAATAATTCATTTAATCCTCAGATAGACATTCTCTGCTTTCGCTACTTCTCAGTTTATAAATTATATGTCATTGCGTGTGTGTGTGTATTATATCGAGTGGAATTATTCCCCTCTAGGATTGCATTCTACTATGATAATGTTTCCCCTTTATGTTTGTAGTGGAACATAGTGCTCCAAGCTGGAGGTTGGAAGTTTCAGTGGCAGTGGTGTTTATTTTTACAGGATTGGGTTGATAGCCTCATGCCCAACCTTTCCTCTTCACCAGTCTTATTACTGATGAGTTGGTCGGGACTCGAAACCTCGAACACACGCATGGTTGGCGACCATTCTACCGCTGTGACACCGACACAGTCTACCATAATGAGCCTCTACACTGAATACATTAGAATGTGATAATGAAAATTAGGTAATGCGGAATTCAATCTACGGATTGCTAATCTTGCTAACTGTAGGGTTTACTGATTTTATCTAGATAATTAGGCTTAAGTCACTCGATTGAGGTTCGAAATTCAGATATCTCAGCAGTTAACTTTACCATAAACTGATGGACTGATGAAGTCGTCTGCCATTCCTGTCTGTCTGTTTTCGACATAGAACTTTGCACAAATGTGCGGCAGTTTAAATCGCCACAATCCATGTAGCGCACAAAGCAAGAGAAGAAAGAAGAAATGCATAATAGAAACAGTAAACAGAGGTGTGAGACAAAGGAATAGTAATAACGAAGAACAAAACAGTTTCATTGGAAATCATAAGTCACAAGGAGTGGATGCATCTGCGCTGGCCATTGAGAACGATTTCGAGCCATGTCACCAATTGTTTCCAATCATTGGTTTTTACCGTCCCGAGGACCCCGACTAACAAGGAAGTCTACACCTTCCTACGTGACTGGCTTAAACTAACTGTTGTAGATTTCATTGACTGGTGCCATGTTTTGGTTTGACCGCCTCTAGATCTTTTCCAGCCTGACCCTATATCAGCTAACATTGCCTGTCTGTCGAGGAAGGCGATGACTAGGCATACGTAACACATGTCCTAACCATCTCAGTCGATGAAGCTTCACAGCCTCATCGACTGATTTCCCCTCCTACCTACCTAGCACTAGACACCTAACCTCAATATTGTTCACCTTATTATACCACTTCACACGAGAGATAAAGCGTAGACACCTGTGATCAAAGACAGCTAGTCAGGCTTTTCATGTCTTCCACTTCAATGGCCAGGTCTCACAGCATGCCATAAAGGAGGACGGAGCGGACTGATGTGCAGTATACCCGCCCTTTGGTCGATAGTCGGATATCACGTCTGCTCCAGAGACTGGGTAAACTGCCATTCCGATATCGATTGGTTACTATACCTTTATGCAACATAACAGTTGGTACGTCTGTGTACGATAACGAAATGAATGAAAGGGATATGACCAGTCAAAAGTTTCTCAGATCTAATAAAATAATGAGAAGCATGGAAAATCAAGCTACTCAAATCAAGGTTCATGGAACTATTGATCCATAGAGAAGGGAATAAAGGTGGGATGATAAGCTTTTAACATGATAGAGCACTTTTTCATCCCTTCGCACTGTCAGAAACCATTGAATAGATTCACAAAGGATCTTCATTCATAGTAGTATTTCATTACAAATAAAATGTATGTATCATAAGCTGACATTGGTTAGAGAACCATTGGAAGTACTGGACAGCTGGTTACCTTCTGATTACCAAAAGTTCCTGGGTTCGGGGGGGGTGGGTACTGATGAAGAGTCCCAAACTAGCCTGACGAAACGGACAGCTATCCAGTACTCCCAGGTTTTCCAATGCTTCCCTAACCAATGTCAACTCATGATGATGAAATCCTGTAACCAATCAACCAAATCCCTACAAACCAACTCTTAAAATTGTATTTACACTCCAGGGATAGAAAGTTTACACTTCCAACAGAAAACAGAAACAAAAACGGAACATGGATGGATTCGTCTGTTTAGCTTAAAGAATGAGCTTGCACTGTCTGCTAGTTGTTAAAAAAAATTCAGTAGTCAGTAGTCATTAAATGTCGTATATTTCTCATCAACTTGTTTTTCTCCTTTCTTTTTCATTCGCATACAGACAAGATTTGGTCGACTTTGCGTGTTGCTTAAAGCAAATCAAATTATATATTTGTTTGACATAATAGAAATATAAATCATATTTGCATAGGGGGTTTTATTATGTAGTAGAGGCAACACAGAGTACGAATAAAACAGACACAAACTCATGCACGTACGGACGCACGCACGCACGCATACATACACACACAAAAGGCTGATTTCATTTAACATAAAAATTATCCGAAAATGAGAAAAGCATAATGCGTTTTAATTGTTCATATAATAAATTACTACTCTCCAGGATAGTTTAAACTGACTAAATGATTAAACTATCTCATAAGTCTGGGGGAGAAATTGAAAAGGATAGACCATTGACTGAATCTCAACCTGGTTACTTGAACTGGATGGTGACATGCATCGAGGAGGGATGAAAACGCGTTCTCTTCCCATATTGGGAATCTTCAGTATTGTATACATTTGTGTTTTCTAAGGTATCTGTCTCTAGACTGTCAATTCATACACTGATGATTTAGACACTCGACTTTTGATGCACAGTTAAAACAGATACAATCGCCTCCCACCCCCGCAATTAACCTCATGAGATTCAATCCTTAGCGACACTGCTACAGTTACAGTTATTACTTTAACAAAGCAAGAATCACTGAGAGTGAATAAAGATAATTTCTAGTCATAAGGAGAGAGATTATTAGGCAACGTGGAAAATATTTTCAAGAATTATTTTGTAGGGATTTTTAACGATTTCACATTTTTGATCAGGGATTGATGTCATTCAGTGAATCATTGAAAACCAGCTCTGGAGCACTGAACAGCTGTTTCGTCCTAATTTGAAATTCTTCATTAATACAGCATTGTGTGCCGGTCCCAGTGACTGAATGGTCTACTAGCTGCCCTTGTAACCGGAAGATCCATAGTTACAATACCGATATGTGTACTTCTGAAGAGTTCCAAACTAGCACGAAACTACTGTCCAGTACTCCATGGTTTACAGTGGTCCTCTAACTGGTATCAATCCGTCATTAAACTTGAAATGGATATATTTATCTAATATATCAACATAAAAACACGTAGGTAGAATAATTAGAAGTATATGTCATAACCATTTTCAGGATCTCACGTGTAACGAAGTTTGAACAACCCGACACACCAACACTATCGCTACTCTAGCTAAATGGTAGACGAGCTTGCCTTGTAACTGGAAGATCCTGGGTTCGAAACCCAGTGGGTGGGTACTGCCAACGAATCTCAAATTATTATATTTGTCAAGATAAACTTTGACTATATACATTCATACAGAATAATGACATAATTTATTGATTCCTGTCCTCTTCTTATCGATAACCTGTTTGACACCACTAACCAATAATAACACTAAATTCTTAGAGACATTTAGTGGACAAAAGTTTGCCTAACATATATCCAACCTTTTTTAAAATTTAAAATTAAACATTACTTCACAAAAAAAAGAAAATCAAAAATCAACTTACTTTTGAACTGATATTATTACTGTTATCCATTTCAAAGGAGACTGATTCCAAATTGTGAGGAGTAGTCATGTCATCTGGTACTTGATATAATCTTTTAATATTAGGTGATGATCTTGACGATTTAATTCGATGAAGTTTAAATTTTAAATTACGATGTAAATTTCTATCCAATGTGTTTATATAAGAGGATTTACAATCATCATTATTTTCATCAGCTTTTACTTTCATCTCACCATCTACAACACTTGTCTCTTTTAGAATATTTTTATGATTAGTTGAAAAGTAAGAATTTTGATTGATTGACGATACATTCTGTGCAAATATTGACCAGTTATTACATGTTCCTTTGGCCAATGATAAAAGAACCTCCGCGGCTTGCATTTCGTTGATCTGTAAGAAGAAATATCGACGAAATAAAAGGTTATTCAGCAGTCACTTATCTATGAATACATTTTGAAACAAGTCATACCTATTGTGTGTGGAATAATAGGGTTGTCTGGCTATCTAGAAACAGTGACAAGTGAATCAACATCGAAATTAGGTGTGTATAGGCCTGTAGACCACATCAATATACACCTAGCTGGATGTACATGGTGTATATGAGTTTGAGAACTTATGTAGCCTAGGTTCGGAAAACAACAGGTTAAACGGTTGGTGTGGTGAACCACAGGTTTGTTCACTATTCTGGTAGTATAGATCAGGAAGTACGCCGTAGGCTAAATAAAATAATTTTAACTTTACTCAGAGGATTCCAGGAAGAATTGAAACAGACTAACACAATCACGCAAATCTAAGCTTCTTTTATAACATTTTTTCTCCAAAACTGATCTTAAAAACAAAGATATCGTCTTTCTCGCAATAAAGGTGTTTTAAATTTTTTGACTACATTACAACTACAGGCGGAAATAATGAGGATATCAAAGCCAGAATCGGAAAAGGGAGACAAGCTTTCACTACTCTCAAGTCTGTGTGGAGGTCAACAGCACTCAGCATGAAAACGAATATAAGATCCGGATTTGCAACTCCAATGTGAAGTCAGTGCTACCAACTTTTCGGATATGAGACTTGGCGCGTCATAAAGAGCATTTCAAACAAACTACAGACCTTCATCAACAGCTAGCTGTCTTCGCTCAATACTCAAGACCAGATGGCTGGCCAGAAAAGATCAGCAACAGGGATCTCTGGCAATGAGCGAACCAACCAGGAACCGATTGTGAAACAAAATATGCAGGAAGAAATGGAGATGGATTGGAGGCCATACTCTGAGGAAACAAACCATCAAATGACATCACTAGACAAGCCATCGCTCGAGTGGAACCCGAAAGGGAAGCGGCGTCAGTGTGAGGGTGACTTGGAGGAGGTAATGTGAAGAGGAAATGGAAGCATGTGGGCAGACTTGGAACGGGGTGAAAAAGTTAGCAGAAAACCGAACGCAATGGAGACACGTGGCTGAAGCCCTATGTTCCTCTAGGAATTAAAGGATATAATAATAATACAATGACACGAATGTCCAGAATTAAACTAAATCTATCCAATGAACTGTTAGCAATCATTGAAAGAAATGGCGCTGAATTTAAAATTGAAACAATGACCGGGAAAAGAAAGGATATATGCAGTGAGCCTATCACTACTAATTTTCTGACTATATATGTGAAACGATGAAGAATTCAGCTTACATTGATATTTCTAGAGACAAAAATAAAAAGAAACTGAATCAGAAATTGTTGCCACTTACGTTTTTTTTATCAAATGTGAAAGAAACTAAGAAGAGGTGTTACGTAACTTTCATTCCTATATGATGAAATGGAGATTGATGGTTTATTTTGTAATTGAAGGTTGAGACTTTGGAAGGTAAGATTAAGATTATCTGCTTTTTTAGGCCTGATTTATTTGTGTAACAGTGGAGAGTTCGAGTTATTCTGTCATAGGCTCAATATCATCTTAATATCTTATATGATTTTGTTTCCCATCATAATACAACACTGTACATGTACTGTTCTTGGCTTTATTCCGTATTTTTGTAAAGTATTAGCATTTTTAATTAGATGGATATCGTTTTGAATGTCATAAAAGAGGTCTCCAACTAACTTCGGACGCCGGAATTTCATACATAATTTAGCTTGTGTTTTTCTCTGTGACTGACTGGACCGAAGTGTTCAGCCTCAGGTGTTGACATGTCAGCTCCTTGTGCGGATGCTTCAACGATGTCTAAAGATTTAACTTGAAGTAATTTGGTGAATGGTGATCAGCAGTAGAATCCAGGATGGGAACAGCATCACTTACTGGGGATGACAAGTCCTAAATAGGACGAAATCCACCTCCTAGATACTACTGAGAATCACAAGCAAAATTACAGATTATAAAAGGGGTGAGGTTAAAGACAAAGATTACGTAATCAGATGAGAGAATAAAGACATCCAGTTACCAGGGCTGGATGGTCATTATTCTCTCATCTGATTACGTAATCTTTGTCTTTAACCTCACCCCCTTTTATAATCTGTAATTTTGCTTGTGCCTTGTTTCTATGATTTGAGTTCAACTCAGTACATTGCTACCTAATTTATTAGTCACGCTGCATCTAACGCATATCTCGTCTTTATTACGTAACTCCTTTACCATTGTGTACATACATTTATTTTGACTTGAACTGCCTGTGTAAAAACTATGTAAGCGCGATTTTCTGAGCACTGTTTACTAATTGTGGAACTTTCTATCAACTGACAACATGTAAAATTTACAAGTATGTTAAAACGTTTCTGTACTTAGACCTCATAATTTATTTAGGCTGTAAGCAGCAGCTGAGCTGATGAGAAGCCAACAAAACAAACAATGATGGTACCATATTATTCTGCACAAACCACTATTGTTCTTGCTTTATTCAAATTCATCAAGGGGAATAAATGCATGAAATAGAAATACTGTTATCCAATGGAATTCAAGTATATTCAGGTGATTAGTCTCTAACAGGAATTACTACACTATATATTATCAATCATCGAATTGATATCCCAGACTGTTTTAATTTAGTGACGTCTTTATTACATAATAATGAATAATGATAATAATGAATGTTTAAAATAATATCTTCAAAAGTCATTCAATAAAAATATACAATATATATGAAATTTCAGAAAACAACTAACTAACTAACCTTATCAAATTCTGATTCCACAGTAGCAACAGGTACATATAAAGATTCATAGGCTATACCCATAACTCTTATGTACTTTCTATAATGATACCTATATAATTAATTTAAATTGCTGTGAGATTTTTATACAAAAGTATATATATATATATACTTTTGTTTATAATTTGGCACGCCCGATTACGTATTATTAAGAAAAACAAATGGAATTAACCAATGAATTATTTGAATAAGGACATTTAACTTGAATAGATTTGTTTTATTTAACCTATCACAATTAAGTCAGCTGGCAGTCACGCATATACGGCATGTTGTTGATTACGTGATAGCATTATATATATATACCCTTGAAATGGTCAAGGTTATTATTTCTGACTTAAGAAAAATACTCCTTAACGATTGGTTAATTTTCTGTGGGCGTGTCATGCCTACAAATCGTGATTTTAGTTCATCATACTACCAATTTAGATAGATAGATACATAGACGTGATCATAGGAACGAGAATAGATAGTATAATACGTGTTATATTTATTTTTTATTCCATTGAAGAATAGTTAGTGAATATAGGCTAGGCTAATTTTTGAAATATTCTAATTTATTCATCTTTGTTTTTTAAATGAATCTGGTAGATTATATACATACCTCTGATAATGAAGACTTACTGAGATTCGCCTTCTTCTTGTATGTTAAAATTTTCAGTATTATTAGTGTTTTATAGTTGTAGTATCGTAGAAAAACCTTCATTTTTCATTATCTTTCACTGTAAAGATGTCACACTGGAACTAAACATTTTTCAGAGTTACAACTACAGTAATAGACAAGAATGCTAATATAAGACTCCTTATTTCTGACGTCAAGTCAGTTCTATACGGATCAGAAACTTGGCGGGTCACAAAGAGTATTTCTAACAGCCTGTTACAGACATTCATCAACAACTGTCTTCGCTCTATACTGAAGATCAGATGGTCGGAAAGAATCACCAACAAGAAACTATGGGAACGGTTGTTTGTGATTATAGTCTCATACACTTTGTCATGTATTTGCTGATTTCACTGTTGGTTGGTGGATATTTGACCAGAGTTACCTATCTATTCATAATATTTGAGATTAATCACACTACCGTGTCGTATTTTCTAACACAGTTATGATGTGTGGTGATCATATTTTATAAAATTGAGCTTTTCACCTGCAAGGCATACAGCTTACCCTAGAGTGATCAATTTGCTTTATCATTATTTTTCATTCTAGGTCACATGAAAACTATTCTGATCAGAGACTTTTGTATTTTCATGAAGATAAGCAATTGTATGAATAGTTGTGGAGCCAGCTGAAAATGATGGAGATATACTGTGTTTATAGAATGCAGTAAAAAGAGAGAATTCAGTACCGCTGAAGCGTACTGTTTCTTCACAACCACCCCTATTTTATGTTCGTTAGTCAAGGATAAACTCCATAATTATGCATCCTAAATGTGAATCTATCAGCCAGTTACACTAGGATTTCAATTAGACAGATTTATAGTCGGATTTTCGAACATCGTCTTGTGTGGTTAAGCAGTGGGACGGTCAAGGTCTATTCTGATATGTATCCACATATATATATTTATGTGTGTGTGCATGTTGGTCTCTCTTTCTGTTTGCTCGGTTAGTCTGTGACCACTTCACTTGTATGAACTTGTCTCCTTTAATAATGTGTATTCTCCTTATATTATATTATATATAATATGAGTGTTGTTGACAGTCCGTTGCTTGGTGACATATATCCATATATGTTGATTGTTGACATGTCTGTTATATTTCGCTATGTATATTTGGATCGACACTCCATTATAATTAGCCATTCATGTTAAGACTGTCTAATGATTTATTCCCACACTTTGTTTGGAACATTTATATATATTCGCATTCACAATTTGTGTGAACTACCTTTACTTACTTACCACTTTGGTGTGAGACCATTTTTATTTTCGTCTCCTTGTGTTTGGACAATAGAAGTATCATCGCAAACCTAGTGGTCTTCTGATTTCCGCCTTCCCGCGTCAGGACTATTAGTTTCTCGACCAGACCATAACAATAACTTAGCGACGAGTACATAACATATTCGCAGCTTCATTTTAGCTCATCTCGAAGCTACTGAAGACAAAGTCGACGGTCCATGAATTATAGCTTGTAGCAGTTTGTGATTTTAGTGCAGCGACCAGCCAATGTCATCAGAAATTATTTGTCCTCAAATCCGACCGGCTGCATCCCACTGAACACAACTTCTCACTAGGACTCTGGATAACTTCGTCCCGTAGCCAGTCACTAGGTAGCATCAGATAACTTTCCATGAGTTAGTTTGTAGGCATTTCGTTTGTCTCAAGCTCTATCGCGGACTAATATCAGTCAGAGAACTATTGAAAACCAGGCAGTACTGGATAGATGCTTTGTCCTATTTTGGGACTCACCGGTAGCAGGCACCCAATAAGTCGGCTGAATGGTCTACGAGCTCGCCTTGTCACCGGGAGGTGCCGGGTTCAAATCTCGACGGGTGCATACTGACGAAGAGTTACAAACTGGACAGGACACCTGTCCAATACACCTTCGTTTTCAGTATTTATCTAGCTGATACCAATCCGTGGAATATCTGTTATACTGTCCGTTACTGTCGGAGAATGAGGAGGGTGTAACCTGGGGGAATCTAATCAGTGCTCTTCAAAGACTACATAATTTTATGTGTAAATACCAGACTGGCTAACACCATAAAATTAGTCAGAAGTGACTTTATATGAAGCCTATATATACTTATTTATGTCCGCCTGCCAGTAACCTTCTATCATTTTTAGGATTTGGGCGACTGTCTGGTTGGATTTTAAAGGTTATCGTCCAGGTGTTTCTAAATATACCAAAATTTCACACCAAGACTTTGTCCTACAAATTTTAATTGAGTCTTTTCCAAAGTGCATGTGATCTGAACGAAAGACTTTTAAGAAAATTCTATTATCTGTCCAATTTAATCGACTATTATATACCAGATATATGCAATAGTACTACTGTTATTGAGGTATTAATATAAATTTATGATTACGCGGTTCACTATGGCAAGCTTGACAGAAAACTTAAGAAACGTATCACTGTTCTTTCACTGTTACAGGGTTCTTGCTGTGCTTCAAATCACAGAAAATACCCATTGAGTCATGCAGAAAATAAAGGACAGTTCAGCGAAGAAAAGTTTCTTTATCAACGAAATCATCTTCAAAGGCTGTATAGTCGTATTTAAATTTGCTATAAATGTATATTAGTCTATTACTGAGTAACAGAGAGTGACATAATTGATACAATTACTCATAAGTGGCTTTAAAAGTAAAAATAAAAGTTGTAAATTAAGTGGTACTGAATGTGACAAAGGAAGAAAGGGTTAGAAATGTGATAATGTTAGAATTGTTATTGAGTGAGAATAAAGGTAGTTCAGTGCCTATTTAAAAAGTGTGAAGAGGGTAAGAAAACGTACAAAAGGAATATGTGAGAGTGATAATAGTGAATTAATTATTAAAGTAAAAGTAAAATAATCATCAAAACTAAAAATAAAAAATTTACAGGAAACGATTAATGGTGAAGTTAAGACCATGGTAGAATAACAGACTGACCCGACATTTGCTGTAGACATAGTTAGGGGTTGTATTGACTAATCGCCAACGCCCCTGCTAATACACAAATGCCGAAACCTGACTCTTTTTGTACCATTTGGCGTCACCTTGTGGATAATCTTGAAAGACGACTCTGGTGGAGTTGTGTGGCTACGTGGAGCTGATAGATAAGTGGTTTGTTACGCAGCAGTGTAATGGGTTCTTTGGGAATATGCGTTATGTAACGTATACTGGCAGAAGTTTGAATTCATGAGCAAATAGATTCTGTCTGAAAAAAGTGAATGTTCGACTGGATGGCCTCCTAATCTGAAGGCACTGGATCCGAAATCCCCTGTGGAGCCATGAGTGTGTACCACTAAGGAGTCTTAAACAGGGACGAAACAGTCATGTCAGGTGTTCCATGGGTTGTACTGGTTTTCCGAATAAAGTCGCTTGGTCGTCTAAATTGAAATCAGTCAAATCACTGCAAATCAGCATTTGAAAACATGCGTGCTTGTTGGCTTATGTCTTCCAAAGCAATAAGGAGAGTTTCTCAAGAGTTTCGTTCGTAAGGATGGGATCTGTTTATACGAGTTTAACCACGGATTGATATCAGTTAGAGAACCATTGGAAACCACCACCGGAGTACTGGACAGCTGTTTCATCCTAGATTTTTGGGAACCATCGGCAGTACGCACCCACCACCAAGGCTCGAAATGAGGACCTTCTGGTTACAAGGCAAGTTCGTGTACCATTCATCCAGTGGGACACGATTCAATGGCCATTCCATGAATTCTAACTTCTACCAATTCGTGATTTTAGCACGACTTGCACCAACCAATATTATCGGCAGGAAATCTATCCTCATTCCCGACTGAATGCACCTCACTGGTCACAACTTCTCACTAGAACTCCAGACAACCCCGTCCTGTAGCAACCAAAGTCGTGAAAATTAACCTTATGCTCGCTAGTGACTTGCTACAGGATGGAGTTTACTGGAGTTCAAGTGAGAAGTCATAACCAGTGAGGTTCATCCAGTCATGTGAGGAAGGATTTCCCGCCAATGACATTAGTTGGTGCCAGTCACGCTAAAATCACGAATTGGTAGAAGTTAGAATTCATGAGCTGGCCATTGGATAGGGTCCCAGTGGGTGAATGGTGCACGAGCTTGCCTTGTAACCAGAAGGTCCTAGGTTCGAACCCCAATGGGTGCGTACTGCCAATGATTCGCAAACTAGGATGAAACAGCTGTCCAGTACTCCCTGCTGGTTTTCCTGTGGTTCTCCAACTGATATCAGTCCGTTGTCAAACTCATATAAATAAGGAGAATGCTTTCGATTATTTTCCTCATTCTGCAGATTATGTAAGATATGCAGAGTACATGCAATAAACAGTCTAGTCAATGGATAGACATTTACAGTCATATGTATACAACGGAGTAATCAATAAACATATGCCTTC